ACTGAAAAGTTCTTGAGAAAAGAAAGCAAAAAAGAGATTATTCACAAAGAATCACCAACAAGGAGAGTTACATGTTTTTAATGTGGAAAAAAAGGACATGTCAAGAGAGAATGTCCTAAACTTGAAAAGAAAGAAAAGTTCAAAAACAAGAATAAAAAAAGAAAAAGAAAGCATATGTAGCATTGGACGACAATGAAATAATTTCATCTTCAGATGAAGGTCATGCATGCAAGACATTGATGGCCTCACATCATTCAAGTGATGAACAACATGAGATGTAACTAATTATTTTGTAGGTACTTAAAGGTCATATCCTAGCATTGTCAAATCAAGATTGATCCTTCAAGACACAAGACCATACAATATTGTAGTTTTAAAAGTTTTATTCATTAAAAAGATGTTTTGAAGAAGCATTAATATTGATATCAACTTTGACATCGAATTCTTATGAAGGAGATAAGTGTCTAATTGTGAAAAAAAATTTCAATTATAATAATATATCATTCCTATATTATCACCTTACTTTGTACTTTATTCTACTTTGTCTTCATTTTTATGATGTCAAAAGGGGGAGAAATAATAGCTATTGTATTTTTTCTTGTTCATAACTCTTTCAGGGGTGAAAGTTTTGAAATACAAAAGGAAGGGGGAGATATACAAGATAGAGGGAGATTCCAGTTGCCACTCAACATTTCAAAAAGTCACATATTGAAGCAACTCATTGATGAACAAGTTAAATTTCAAAGAATGGTTTGTCATCATCAAAAAGAGGGAGAATGTGAAGAAGAGTTATTCTTGTCCTAGGTTATAGTTTTGATGAAGACAAACACATCAACAAAAAGAAGAGTCAAAGCCTGAAGACTTGAGAAATCAAGTTCAAATTATCAAAAAGCTTTGGAAAATTAATGGAAGAATCAAGATGGTTGAATATGCATTACAAGTGTTCAAGTTATCATTCATTCATGCCATTATTCATTAAAGTATTTTTCTGCATAAAATCTTTGCTTTTCATCTCAATTTTGAAGTATTTTTCAATTCTGGTCTCTGGGTAATCGATTAATCAGTTGGCAGTATAAAATTGTTAATAGATTAACCTATGTAATTTTTGAATATTTTGACCCGTTGTAGAAGGGTTGATAGATTAACTAGATTGTAGTACAAAGCTGTTAATAGATTAACACTGAAGCAGTGTCTGTAGAGGTGCATTATGTCTATATAAACATGATTATTTTTTAAAATTCAAACTCATCTCTCTTTCATAGCAGTTCAAAACTTATATTATCTCATTTTCAAAATCAAGTGTTCTTGACATAACTTTTTGTTGAAACGTTTGCATATCAATTTCATTACATTTTCAAATAGTTTCAACTACTTAAAAATCATTGAGCACTTGTACTACATATTGAGAATTTCCTACTTGATAGAGAAGATCAATTCTAGGAATTGATATGCATTTTTATACAACTTCGTATGAAGGCACATATAGAAGCACAAGGAGAAGATATTTGGGATGTTGTACAAAATGGTCTATTTGTTCCTACTAGTGTTGTCGATGGCGTTGAAACAAAAAAAAAACAGTAAAAATTCATGGAATGAAGATGATAAGAAGAAGGTACTCTACGACAAGAAAACAATTAACATTCTTCAAATCATTGTTAGTATGGATGAATTTTTTCGTATATCTCAATGTAAACCGGTAAAAGAAATTTGGGATACCTTAGTGAAATCTCATGAAGGAAGTGTTGAAGCTAAAAGGTCAAGATTGAATACCGTGAATCAAGAATATGAAATGTTCAGAATGCAGACCATAGAATCAATCCTTGATCTACAAAAGATATTTGTTCACTTAACTAATGACCTGTTTGCTCTCGGTAATATTTTTACTAACGATAAAATAAATCATAAAGTTCTTAGGTCTTTAACTAGGGAATGACAACCAAAGGTGACCGCGATATCAGAAAAGAAGAGTCTTTCTATCATAACGTCCGCATCCTTGTTCGAAAAACTTCAAAAGCATGAAACTCAAGTAAAAGATTCAAACGATGTTGTATTAAAGACAAGAGTCAAAATTCATGATAACAATCAAGAGGAGGAATCCACTGATGACGATGATGATCTTATTAAAAAGTTTAAAAAGTTCTTGAGAAAAGAAAGAAAAAAAAAAGATCATTCCCAAAGAAGCACCAACAAGGAGAGTTACATGTTTTGAATGTGGAAAAAAGGGACATGTCAAGAGAGAATGTCTTACACTTGAAAAGAAAAAAAAATTCGAAAACAAGAATCACAACAAGGAAAAGAAAGTATATGTAGCATGGGATGACAATGAAAAAAGTTCATCTTCAGATGAAGATCTTGCATGCAAGGCATTGATGAACTCACATCATTCAAGTGATGAAGAACATGAGATGTAACTAATTGTTTTGTAGGTACTTGAAGGTCATATGCTAGCATTGTCAAATCAAGATTAATCCTTCAAGACACAAGACCATACAATATTGTAGTTCTAAAAGTTTTATTGATTAAAAAGATGTTTTGAAGAAGCGTCAATATTGATATCAACTTTGACATCAAATTCTTATGAAGGAGATAAGTGTCTAATTTTGTGCAATTAATTTTCAATTATAATAATATATCTTTCCTATGTTATCACCTCGCTTTGTACTTTAGTCTACTCTGTCTTCATTTTTATGATGTCAAAAGGGGGAGAAATAATAGCTATTGTATTTTTTCTTGTTCATAACTCTTTCAGGGGTGAAAGTTTTGAAATACAAAAGGAAGGTGGAGATATACAAGATAGAGGGAGATTCTAGTTGCCACTCAACATTTCAAAAAGTCACATATTGAAGCAACTCATTGATGAACAAGTTAAATTTCAAAGAATGGTTTGTCATCATCAAAAAGAGGGAGAATGTGAAGAAGAGTTATTCTTGTCCTAGGTTATAGTTTTGATGAAGACAAACACATCAACAAAAAGAAGAGTCAAAGCCTGAAGACTTGAGCAATCAAGTTCAAATTATCAAAAAGCTTTGGAAAATTAATGGAAGAATCAAGATGGTTGAATATGCATTACAAGTGTTCAATTTATCATTCATTCATGCCATTATTCATTAAAGTATTTTTCTGCATAAAATCTTTGCTTTTCATCTCAATTTTGAAGTATTTTTCAATTCTGGTCTCTGGTTAGTCGATTAACCAGTTTGTAGTACAAAACTGTTAATAGATTAACCTATGTAATTTTTGAATATTTTGACTCGTTGTAGAAGGGTTAATATATTAACCAGATTGTAGTACAAAGTTGTTATTAGATTAACACTAAAGCAATGTCTGAAAATACTGCATTTTTTCAATCAAATGATTTTCTAAATTGGATCATGAAGCATGGTAATCTTTTATTTGTTGCACTCATCCGTAGAGGTGAATTGTGTCAATATAAACATTATTATTTTTCAGAATTCAAACTCATCTTTCTTTCATAGCAATTCAAAACTTATATTCTCTCATTTTAAAAATCAAGTGTTCTTGATATAACTTTTTGTTGAAACTGTTGCACATCAATTTTATTACATTTTCAAATAGTTTCAACTACATAAATATCATTGAGCACTTGTACTACATATTGAGAATTGCCTACTTGATAGAGAAGATCAATTCTAGGAATTGATATACATTGTTATACAACTTCAAACACTTGAGAATTGCCTACTTGATAGAGAAGATCAATTCTAGGAATTGATATACATTGTTATACAACTTCAAACACTTGTAAAAATTCATATTGTTGTGATTTCCTTATTTTTTAGGATTGTTGGAAGCAAGAGAGTGAATAAGGGAGGGTTGTTCTTTTGTTGCACTTTGTAAAGATCATAAGGGGATTGCCATTAATTTTTGTGTTGCTTATGTTAGAAGATTGTAGGATAGGTTTTGGTGGAAGAGTTGTACAAAGATCTGACATACTGAAAATCTCTCACAAAGGGTGAGAGGACTTGAGTACTCTCAGATTATGAGGGAAATCAGGATATATCATTGTGTCATTTGCTTTCTGCAATTATTTTTCAGCATATTTACTTTCATATTTTTTCTGAAAAATAACAAAATCAGTACTAACACTTCAAATTTTAAAAAGTCCAATAAATCTAATTCACCCTTCTTAGAGACCGCGCATAAACTTACACATTGTAGGTCCATCCTCGCACTGTCGCACAAACGATCTGCACCACCGCATCAAAAGTCCATCATCATTAATCAATTACAATTTTGATTTTAGTACTAAACAATAATAATCATAAGTTCAACTCGAAAATTACCTTTTTAACTTTTTTTGACAAAAGTAAATATATCACATAATTTTAAATAAATAAAATAATTAAACCTCTATTTTTATTATAAATCATTTTAAAATTTTCACACATATTAAAAAATTTAATCATTCTAGTATGAAAAAAAGAAATTACAAAAGAATTTATAAAATCATTTTTCATTATGTAAAAATAAAACTTAAATAACTTTAAAACAAAATATTTAAGAACATATTAAAAAGATATTAATAATTTATTATTTTTATTATTACAAAATAATTTATAATTTAATATAATATTTTATTTAAATGACTTATAATAAAAATGGGAAGGGTAATATTTACATAAACTCACTATTGTAACGATTTTATAATTAAAATACAAATGAAAATATGCAACTTAATTATATAACCGTTGAACGAAACTCTATTAGCAAATTATTATAGAATAAAAAAACATAACTTTTTTTAATAATAACATGACTTCATTATTAAATTGTAGATTTTATTCTTGTTCTTTGATTGATACTCCGTGTTGTCGTGTTGAGTGATTTACTATATTATTCGTATGAGCTTTATCATAGCATGATGTAAGCTTTCTCCTATAAATACCCTCCAAACCTAGAACAAGGGTTTTCAAACCACAACACACAAACTCCCAAAAACTCTTCACTCCTCTCTGTCTTTTTTTCATATTAACCAAACCATGGAATCAAATCCTAAAAATACCACCAAGGTCCTCTTTAGCTACGGCGGCAAACTTCTCCCCCGCTGTCCCGACGGCAAGCTCCGCTACACCGGCGGCCACACCAGAGTCCTGACGCTCTCTCTCCCCATTTCTTTCTCAGGTTCTTTTCTCATTGAATAGACCTTTAGTTTAATGGCTTTTATTATTTCATCCTTCAAGGGTATTTATTTGTTTGATTCCTTTATCTTTTGCAGAGTTGATGGTGAAGTTTGTGGAATTATGCGGTTCATCAGTTACACTGAAGTGTCCTTTACCGAACGGAGATTTAGAGACGTTGATTTCAATCACCAGCGACGAAGATCTGGCAAATATAATCGAAGAATACGACCGAGCTTCTTCATCGTTACCTCATCCATTGAAGATCAGAGCTATTCTTTCACCTCCCAAATCTCTGAAGAAAGTTTCTCCTCCACAATCTTCTTCGTCCAGTGCAACATACTCTCCGTCCGGTTCGCTTTACGCGTCTGCCGAATCACCACCGTATGCGGCTGTGAATCGGCTGAATTGCTCGCCGGTTTCTCTAGGGTTTCCGATTGGTGTTCGAAATGGGGTGGTGAAAGGTGGATGTTACACGGGGCAATTACATGGAAGCCCTAGATTCCTCTATCGCTTCGGGAATAATTATTGTCAATGAAGCAGTGTTATATTGGGGAATACCAGTTGATGATGAAAAATCGATCTGTGGTAGGGTGTAAATAGTGAAAAGTGAATTGTAATAGAGCTTAGGCTTCTATTTTTTATCTGCCTGGGCTTTTAAAAACACAAAACAGAGTCTTACTCTGTTTTCTCTGTATTTTAGTAAAAATATAAAGCTTGAAAGGGTTGTTAATAGCAGCCACGTCTATTAAAAACAAAATAGTAATCCAATGTATTTTTTTACACATGTCAATTGGATTAGTCATTAATTTGTATGAAAAGATGAATTAGATTACTGATTATAGAAGGGAAGGAGTTTTAATATAAAATGATGACAATGAGTTGGAAGTAGTGAGTCATCTTATTAATTATTTGTTATAATAAGAATAAATGTATAAAATTTATAAATTATTAAAAATGTTATAAAAAAATGAGAAAAACATGATATTATAAACTTTTATTTTTTTTAATTAAGAGCATCATCAAAGAGCGACTAAATATTCCAAGTATCTTGGCACCCTAGAAAACTAAAAGATAATAATATTTGTTGAAACTCAAGATATATAAAGAATATAACATGTATAAAACAAATCACTTTTGAAATGGAAATCAAGAATTTATGTTTAGAACGAAGGCCCATAAAATTAAAATGGTTTCCTTTTTAATATATAAAATTATTTAAATAAATATTTTAATTAAATATTTAACAAGAAGTTTATCCAAAATAATTATGTTTAACTTTAATCAATACTAAACTTAAAGTGAAAATAAATAAGTCAGACCGATTAATATGAATACGTCGTAATCTACATATGCTCAATCCGTCTACATATGTTGAGGCCATAATTTTTTTTTTTAAATAGAAAAAATTTAAATTTTTTTATAAGTCTATTTAGTTAAAAAAGTTAGAGTCTTTTAAATTTATCCGATCAATCTATTTGAATAAATATGAATAAATTTTTATTATTATTATATTATGTTTTGTATTTTGAATTAAAATACATAAATAAAACTTGATTATCTTGAAAAATTTTTGAAAATTCGATGAAAATACCTTATGAACAATGTCATAAGTTGTTTTCATAAGTTTTTTAAAAAAAATAATCTCACAAAATTTGTGGTAATAGATAAATTAAAATAAATCAATGCAAACAAATTTTTAATCTCTTTAATCTTTTAGTGTTTTAATCTATTTAAATATTATGTAAATTGTTTATTTATATATCTAAAATAATTATGATTTTATGTAGGTTAACGAGCTAACAAGACATCAAGTTTAAAAATAAATCTATGACAGACTATAAGCTAGACTTAAACTTCAATTTTTAAGTCAGATCAGACTTAAACTTGACAAAATTTATCTTAGTCTAATTTATTTCTACTCAAATTACAAACAATAAATTGATCGGATAAAATCCTAGAGTTTATTATATAAAAGAACTATAAAATATTATTATCAAAAAAGTAATTCTGATTCTACGCCAAGTGAATTTAAATAAACTTTAATTGACTTTTAAATAATATAAAAAATTGTATAGCATAGTAAAATGTTATTTTTTAGTTTGAAACAAACTCAAACTCAAATAACGTAAATAGTTGATAGGTCACGACGAAGTGGTGAGTTGGACTCATAAGTCAACCTTATTTGAAACTCGCCTAAATATTAATTTTATTTTTATTCTCTTAAATATTTTAAAAATAATTAAAAGAGTGGCACATGATTTATAGTGACATTTGGATCACCCACGTTTTATATACACTCACTTTATCTTAAGAGTTTTTTCAAGTTCAATGTGACACTTTATCTGAAGAGTTTTTTCAAGTTCGATGTTATGGTGCATTGTATTTTGAATGTTGACTTGTTGTCCATATATTCATAATAATGGAATACTTGCAAATTCTGGTTTTGTACATGAACCTGTTTTGCGTGTCCTTCTGGTTCATGTTATTTGTTGGTGTGAATTGGTTTGTTATTTTTTTAAAGAGTGACATTATTTACCGTACAAACTCATTTTGCAAGATAAATTAGACTGAATATTAAAAAAAAAATCTACAAATTTGTGTAGAGAATTTTTTGAGAGCTTTATAATTGTTTGTTAGAACCAAGAGTTTTATTTGGGAGAGATGCTAAAGTTCTGTGAGGATGACAACAAACTAACATGTATGAGGATGACAACAAACTAACATTCTATGTAGGTAGAATAAATTATTGTTCTTTAAAAATCCAAACAGAGGGAATTATTATTCCAAGTAGAGCTATGAGACGAAGAATCTTCCGGCACCCTTCAAATTATATTTGATATTTTTTTTAAAACTTGTGATTATATTTTTGCTTTTGTCATAACTTATCGAATATTATTTTTTTTTGGTTAAATTTTAGATATTTATGCAATTAATGGATATTTCGTAAAATTTTCCGTTTAGAATTACTGAATTTAGTGAAAAATTACTGGATATTTTATGAAAGTATCACTACTATAAGATATACGTATGTTAGCACAATATTGTTACGACCATTTTGTCAATCTATGTAATGTCTAAACTTTAACATGCATGTTTTGTTTTTTGTTTTAGGAAAACACCTTTTTATCACGGTTCTTAATAACAACGGTAGTCATAGTAGATGGATAACAAATTTCAAATTCCAGTATCAATATTTTTTCAATAAAAATAAGTGTGTATCCCTTAATATTTATTGTTATATAAAATTGAAATTAGAATAATTACTATTGTTTCAATCAACCCTGGTTATATTTTTCATATTTCACTAAATTTGTTATTTGCAACCGTTGTGAAATTCTTTCCTATAAAATTAAAACATAACAGGTTCTTTATTTCGTTCATAACACACAAGGTTGCCATAGTTAGTGAGACGACAACAATAGATAAATCTTCACAATCTTCATTCATTTCTTAGAACGAATATAATTTCTTGGTTTCTTCCTCCTTTACGAAATAATATACGTTACCTTTCTGTGCTCGTTGTTCATTGTTCATTTCTTAGTCTCTCTCGTATGATGTGGTGTGGTTTTTGTTTAAGTGTTGTGGATTTTTGTTTTGTTGCAATTGGATTACTTTGTGTTTTAGGTTTATTAAGATTTTATGATGTTTTCGTTGTTTCAAAGTTATGTGTTGTTGTCATGTGTCCTGTTCTGGCGCTGTGATGTTTTCATTGTAATGATTTTGTGATGTTTTTGTTGATTTTTGTTTTGGTGTTATAACTCTATTGCAAATGAAGAAATAAATGTGGTTATGAATATGCTATAGATTTTAGTGTTGTATTGTTCTGATGAATATGCATTAATGTGTCATTCATTGAAAATGCTACTAGAAGATAACAAATTGTCTGATACTTGTAATGAGACCAATAAGATATTGTGTCTAATGAGTTTGGAGTATATCAAAATACATGCATGCCCTAATGATTGCATATTATACATGAAAAATATGAAAATTTGGATCAATGTCCAGAATATAGCGAGCTGCGCTACAAGTTGAAGGAAAACAATGGTAATATCAATGACAATTTTAGTAAGAAGCGTCCTTCTGCTAAAGTGTTATGATATTTGCCAATAATTTCAAGGTTGAAGAGACTTTTTATTAATGCGAATGATACAAAGAATATTAGATGACATACAAATGAAAGAAAATGTGATGGAAGCATTTATTGTGTAGCTGATTCTTTGCAATGGAAGAAAATTGATTTGTTGTTTCCGTACTTTGGCCTCGAACCAAGAAACCATAGGCTTGGGCTTGCCACGAATGGAATGAGCCCATTTGGTAATCTGAGTACTAACCACTCTTTGTGGTTTGTTCTTCTCACGATTTACAATTGTTAGGTTTGCATAATAAGGGGTTTTTTGTTATCATCTCCACAGGGATTGTTCTGATATGGGATACTTGTCGTTCAATAGTTTACCGTTTCAAAAAAAGGATTTTAAAGTTTGTTTTATAAATTGTCACGATTTAGTAGCAAAGATTAAATTCTAGATGTTTGATTGACAAAGTATATCAAAAGTAGTTTTCATTTATCCTAACTAATATATATTCTCTTAATATTGCATGTGAAGTCGGATCCGATTAATATCATCACGTATTCTCTCAATACCATTTATGTCTAGAGCAATGTCGTGAGAAATAATGTATTCATCGCTACACGATCTCTCCATATAGCAACCAATATAGTAAGCTTTAAGTTCAACACAAAGTAAATATTAACCATAGACCGATCTCTCCAATCTATGAATTGATAGATGAATATTTTAGGTCAAGTTTCATAAAATCTATGTCTAGAGTTTTACAAAACAAGAATGGATCATTAAGAACAAAAATATTCATCATATATTAATCATCACTTGTTCACATACAATGCCAATCAAAAGAAATACATAGAGCTAAGGTAGACTACCTCCACCTTTGATACAAAGAAAATTAGCTACCCATAACCATGGTAGCTTGCTTTACAAGTAATGAGAGAAGATGAATGAACATCCACGTCGAAGAATCTATCTTGGATGTGAATCCAACTTCTATTTACAAATATATAACTATTTGGTGAAGAAATGCATAAAATAGGGTTTCTATGTGGAAAATGGGGTTATGATCCCAAAAAAGTGTGAAAAATACATATATAGTACTTCCAAAATCTGTCAAGTTCGCCTAGCAAACACCTTCTTCGCACAACGAAGACCTTTTTTAGGCACATGACGTGCCTCTGAATAGTTAAACTGTCCTTGGGAAATATCTGAGTTCGCAGTGCGAACACTTCTTTGTACAACGAACTTCTTCGCTACAAGTTCGCACAGTGAACTCAGGGTCCTTTTCCTACTGCCTATAATCTGAGATGGTTCGCGGGGGCTTCACCTGGAGCTCGCACAACAAACATTCAATTTCACCTCATTGGTGTTTGCACAACGAACAATCAATTTTTCTTCTTTTCTTTGGCTTCTTTGTCAATTCACTTGTGTCTTGATCATTGATAGTTTATGCCTAAATCCT